CATTCACGCCTACCAGTCGCACGATGGCAACCGCTCCCTGTTACAACCCAACGAGAGCCGTCACGGAAGCAGTATGAAGGATCGCTTTATCGGTGCCATTGACACCGGTACCACCAGCTCTCGTTTCATCATTTTCGACTGCACTGGTGTTCCTGTGGCCAAGTACCAGATGGAATTCCGCCAAATCCACGAGAAATCAGGGTAAGTCTCACCATTCCACCCACAGTCCGTCTTCATCACGCTCATGTCTGTTTTCTACTTCTTAGATGGCACGAACAAGACCCCTTTGAACTCGTCGATTCCGTTTACACCTGCATTGAAGAAGCTATGAAGACCTTCCTCGCACTCGGTCACTCCCGGGACGATATCGAGGCTATTGGTATTACCAGTCAACGTGAGACAACAGTGTGCTGGGATTGGGAAACTGGTGAGCCTCTACACCACGCAATCGCGTGGCCAGATACCAGAACCACTGGGCTGGTTCGAGAACTCAAGGCAAAGGAGGGTGCGGATGAGCTATCAAACATCTGCGGCCTTCCCCTGTCGACATACCCTTCCTCCGTCACCCTCATGTGGATGCTCCGCAACCTCCCCGAGGTGAAGAGGGCATATGATGAGGGCCGCCTGGCTTTTGGTACCATCGACACCTGGCTGTTGTACAACCTGAACGGTGGCCCGGAGGGCGGCCGGCTGGTGACTGACGTCACGAACGCCTCACGAACCATGTTCATGAACCTCGAAACGCTTGATTACGATGATAAGTTGTTGAAATTTTTCGAAATCGACAAGAACAAGATCAGACTGCCCAAGATTCTCCCTTCGTCTGACCCCGAGGGCTACGGGTGGGTCAGAGACGGCCCGCTTGAGGGCATCCCCATCACAAGCTGTCTTGGAGATCAATCTGCTGCCTTGGTCGGTCACTGTGCCTTCACGCCCGGATCTGCGAAGAACACTTATGGCACGGGTTGTTTCCTTCTGTACAACGTTGGTGAGAAGCCTGTTATCTCCAAGCATGGCTTGCTTGGCACCGTGGGCTTCCAGTTGGGCAAGCACCGCAAGCCTGTGTATGCCTTGGAGGGCAGTGTCGCTGTTGCTGGAAGTGGTATCTCCTTCCTGATGAACAACATGGGTTTCTTCCGTGATTCCCGTAAAGTCAGCGAGGTCGCTGCGACCGTTCCCGACAGTGGCGGCTGTGTCTTCGTCACGGCCTTCAGTGGTCTGTTCGCACCCTACTGGATCGATGATGCCAAGGGAACCATCTGTAAGTTCACCCGCATTCTGCGCCGTTCTGTGTGAGAAAAATATTTACTGACTTTAATTCAGTTGGTATCACTCAGCACACCCAGCGTGGACACATTGCACGTGCCACCATGGAGGCTGCCTGCTTCCAGACCAAGGCCATCTTGGATGCCATGGAGATGGACAGTGGTCACAAGTTGTCGGAATTGGCCGTCGATGGCGGTATGAGCAATTCCGATATCTGCATGCAGGTAGGTTACTCACATGATTCCTGTCACCTGATCAACGGAGACTAATGCCCCCCTCTTAGACTCAAGCCGATATCATTCAAATCCCCGTTGAACGCCCGGCCATGCACGAGACGACGGCGCTGGGAGCCGCCATCGCAGCTGGCTTCGCGGTCAACATCTGGAAGGATTTCAGCGAGCTCAAGGACATGAACCGGGCAAACCGCACGACCTTCCTTCCCCATGCCTCCCCAGTGCAGAGCAAGAAGATGTACCGTCAGTGGTCCAAGGCCGTCGAGATGTCGCGTGGCTGGCTCGACACGAATGATTCGGAAGAAGAAGAAGAAGAAGGACAGAACGGTGCATAGTATTCTTCTTAAACCCACGTCATAGAACGGTGGCTTTGTCTTTTTCAACATTTGATTCAGCGATTTAGCGTCTTGATTTTCTCATTGCTTTGCACTCGGGGTTACGGCATGGCTACTTGGGTCCTGGGTTCGGCCTGGCACAGGTTCAAATTTCTCTGGGGATGCCTGGATTCCACATCAGGTACATTATCGGTATATATAGCTGCACGGTACTTACCTTATACATATTCATGTCATTGATATTTCAGATAGATATAATAGGAATGACGTCTGATGATGAACAAGACTTTTCTCTCTTTCATATTGAGCATAATTGTAGTCACAATCAATCAACTACGCGAACTTACTTGAAAAACATACATACAGTCGAGTAAAAAAGTATAGCAATGATAGTAGTTGACCTGCCCCAACATGAAGCATAAGATTCATAGTAATAGTATGTAAGTATGGTATGGTATCACAACTAACCCACAAATCCAATAGCAAATAATAATAGGAAAATAATCCATCCCACAACCAGTGAGATAACAAAAAAGTATATATCCGATCAATGCTAAAAATCTACCAGTCTACCTCCCCTCAGCCTTCTCAACCAACTGATCCTCCAACCCCATAGGCTCCCAAATCTCCTTCGCCTTCTTATTCTGCACCCAGACCACATCCCCCTGCACAAACGCCACAACACCGCCCTTACCCGTCGCACTAGCCGTAATGCGGAATAAAGGCTGACCGTTTTGCGGATGCGCTTCACGCAACGGCAACATAATGAGGCCTTGTTCCATGCACCATGATTCGAGAATATCTTTGAAGGCGACTTCTTCGATGATTTTGGGTTTGCGGGGTTGTTCTGCTGTTGTTGTTGGCACAGCAGCAGCGGGTTTGTCTGTGGGTTTTGTTGTTGCGTGTTCGGTGGTGGTAGTAGTGGTAGATGAAGGCGGAGGAAGTTCAGCAGCGGCACGATCGCCTAGCTGGGAGGCGAGGTCCATAGTTTGGAGACCCTTGTTCCATTCGTCGTCGACGATGGTGAGGTCGTTGATATCGGCAGGGATTTGAGTGCGCCACCAGGTGAACCATTCGGCGACTTCTTCGTAGTTGGGGTCGTTGGTGAGCCAGATGTAGAGGATGTTGTGCCATTTGGGGAAGAATTCGGCGACGAGGAGAAGACCCATGACGTTTGGTTTGAAGAAGTCTTTCCATTTCAGGACGTTTTCGAGGGCTGTGAGGTCTTGGTCTTGTGGGTTGACTTCGAAGTCTTCGCGGAGGTGGCGGCCGAGGCGCGGGAGGAGGTGGTTGCGGAGACAGGTGTCGAATTCGGAGCCTAGGGCGTCGCGCCAGAGTTCGATGCCGTTGATCAGTCCCTTGTTGAGGTCCCAGCTGTCTAGGACGACGCGGAATTTGCGCTTCGCGTCGGAGAGGAGGCCCGTGGGTTGCTTGGGGTTGGTGTGTCGCTCGTCGAGGTATTGAAGCCAGGTGAAGAGCCACCAGGGGAAGCGGGAGCTGTTGGTGGATGAGGTGTGGTGGCGGCGACTGCTGCTTCGGGGTTTCCAGTCTTTGAGGCCGTTGGTGAGCTTGGGTACGACAAGTTGGTCGAGGACGTTGGTGTAGACGAAGGAGGGGAGGAGCTCTTTCCAGGCGACGATGAGGGAGGTTGCTGGGGCGGGTTCGTATACATCCCAGTCGTTGAGGAGGGCGGAGCGCACTCGGGGTAGCCATAGAGTGTAGATCATGGTTTCGTAGGGGGAGGTGGATTGTCGCTGGGTGTGTTCGGTGTTGGCTTTTCGGAGGAGCAGAGGTTGGAGACGACGGAGGTTGGATACAAGGAACGTTGGGTCCCTGAGAGGCTCCCATTCTTCCATCGCTTGACGGAAAAGAGGATGAAGAGCTGCGACGGCCGTTTCTGGCAGTCGGTATTCATCAATCTCGTTGCGGTACTTAATCTCCATGGACTCCAGCTTGTCGGTGATTTCGTCGAATTTCGCCCGAGTGTCTTCCTTCTGGAAGATCTCTAGCTGGCCGATGGCTGTGACGAGCTCAGACAGCTGGTCGGCCTTGAGCTGATTCGTATCTAGCTGTTCCACGACTTGGGCTTCCTCTAGCTCGATGTATTTCTTCCGCTCTGTCAGACCCTTCCACTCGTCTGCAAATGCCTCTAGGTCGTTTCGTGCGCGTTGCGCGATCTTCCAGGCTTCTCCTTCTCCTTGGGTAACGAACGTCTGCGGCGTCATCAGACCAGCTGTAGACGTGAGCACCTTCTGGTCCTTCCCAGTCGCATCGATCAGCGACTTCAGCACGTTCGGAACTTCCAAGCCCTCCATATCCTTTTCCATCTCGCGCGCAGTTCGGAACTGGGGCTTCGCGCGAGCCACTGGTGTCCCTGTACCGCTCCGGCCCTCTCGTTTGCGCTCCTCCTTCTTCTTCCGTCGCCTCTTGCGCTCTTCATCTGAGCTATCCTCGACGGATTCGCCCCGGAGAGCTGCCGCCCGCTTTTCCTCTTCCCGCGCTTGTTTTGTCTTCTCACGGACCGCACCCAAACCGGCACCTGTAGGACGAGCCTGGGCCTCAATCGGGTTGACGATACCTTGGCCGGAAGAACCCAAACCCTGTCCCTCGACATAACCCATCTTGGCCATCATGCGCGCGGCGAAGGAATTGCCTCCGGACATTCCTTTGCTAGCATTGTTGCCGCCGCCTTTCATCGCTGACTGCGCGGTATTATTGCGGGGGTTACGACGGGCGCTTCCCAGCCCGCCGTGAGATGGAGGCGACTCGGAGCGAGACGACGCGCGAGCAAACCCGCGAAAGCCCATGGTTGGGCGGTAATCTTCTTCTTCCTCTTCATCGGAGCTCATGTCGGCGATCTTGCGTTTTTGGCCGGCGTAGGGCGAGGATGAGGGGGACTCCATGGCCGGGCTGGAGGGCGAAGGGCGGCACAAAGGAAGGGATCGAGATTCACGGCGATGAAGGCGAGAGAAAGCCCGGCAGCATGACGGAGATTGTGATTGAGTATGGATGGATGAAGCTAAAAGATGGTGGATCCAAATGCCGGGAAAGTTCGGCGCGGGGAAATGCGCCCTCCGAAGAAACAAGCCGTTATGACGTTGAACTTCTTCATCTCTCCTTCTTCCTTCTTCTCCCTTTTTCTCTTCAGCAACTCTCCTCTCATCCCCTAAACACCCCCGGATCTATTGTAATAGTGCATCTTGCTCTGTTCTAATTAACGCTCACAATGGCTGCTTCCCTCGTCCGCACCTCTGCCCGTACGGCCCTGCGCGCCGGAGCTTCGGCTACTCCCAGAACTGCCGGCATGGCGGGCTTGACTTTTGCCCGCGGCAAGGCTACTCTCCCTGACCTGTCCTGTATGCATTCCCCTGCGATTCTAGAGTCATATAGAGCTTGTAGTGACTGAACTGACTCCTTGTAGACGACTATGGCGCTCTCGAGCCCTCCATCTCCGGCAAGATCATGGAGCTTCACCACAAGAACCACCACCAGACCTACGTCAACAGCTACAACACTGCCATTGAGCAGCTCCAGGAGGCCCAGCACAAGAACGACATTGCCGCTCAGATCGCTCTCAAGCCCCTGATCAACTTCCACGGTGGTGGTCACCTGAACCACACCCTCTTCTGGGAGAACCTTGCTCCCAAGAGCGCTGGCGGTGGTGAGCCCCCGTCCGGTGCCCTGTCGACTGCCATCAACGACACCTACGGCAGCCTGGAGGAATTCCAGAACAAGATGAATGCTACTCTTGCTGCTATCCAGGGTAGCGGCTGGGCTTGGCTCGTCAAGGACAAGCAGACCGGTCACATTGGCATCAAGGCCTACGCCGTAAGACTGCACCATTCGTGTGAAGAAAGCCTTCAAGTTGGCTAACCTTTTTACAGAACCAGGACCCCGTTGTCGGCCAGTTCCAGCCCCTGCTGGGTATTGACGCCTGGGAGCACGCCTACTAGTAAGTACACCCGTCCTAACCCGTGAAGATTACCAGAAGCTAACATCATTTTCTAGCCTCCAATACCAGAACCGCAAGGCCGAGTACTTCAAGGCCATCTGGGAGGTCATCAACTGGAAGGCCGTGGAGAAGCGCTTCTCCGCGTAAAGCTTTTCTTATGATATGAACTGTATATTGACGCGGCTTGATTAGCGATTGTGGATCTGCGTATTATGTGTACTATGGATTTGGAACTAATCAGGCTCAACCCGATGCCCTAATGCAAATTCCGTATTAATGGCACTCTCCTCTCTTCTCTTCGTTTCTCTCCGTAAACAAACCAATAGATTCATGTTCCTCATCAGCCACAGTGGCTGAAGCTCGGCAGGTGGCGGATGTCAGCTCCGTAACATCCGGTAAACGTAATACAGCGCCGATCATGTTTCACATTCGCTGCATCGCCGGCTTCATCTTTCATCTTCATCTTCTCTTCGACCTCCCATCTTCTCCGCTTCACCCTCAAATCCTCCCCCCAATGTCCGATGACAGCCCGGGAGAAAGGCGCGGTTTCCGCGCCTTCTTCGCCAATGCCCTCCGGCCCAAGAAATCCCGACAAGTCCTACGCAAGGGCTACAGCGCATCCACTCCAGACCTCCGCGCCGGCTTCAAGCGGCCCAGCACCACCAGCGAAGATGTCCCTCCACTGCCCTCCCTGGCGCCATTGGAGGCCCATCGCCTCAAATACCGGGAACTCAACGCCAACAAAGACACCCAACTCGGTGAAAGCCGCGATCACACCGAAATCCTGCACGCCATCGGCGTCCAGGACATCGACCCTTCAGACCCCTACGCCAACCGCTCCGAGTTCGACAACCGTCCTCCAGGCGAGCCCTTAATCGCCAGTCTTACCCCAATCCTCTGGGCAGAGATCTGCTTCTATCTCAATCCCGCCGACCAAGCCAGTCTCGCCTTCGCCAGCAAAACCCTCCTCTCCAAGCTCGCCCCGCTTCAACCCTGGCAAGCCCTCAATGACCCTTCCAACCGCGAATACCGATCCGACTTCCTCGTCTCCCAAGACCGCTACCTCCCCCATCACCTCCTCTGCTTTCCCTGCGCCCGCTACCACCGTCGCACCCAAGAAGGCCACGAGAAACTGCAACCCGCCCATGTCATCAACCCTCTTTTCAACTGCCCCAACATGCGCAACTCCCTCCTCCCGCCCCCGCGTCACCGCATCACCCACGGCCGCACCCTCCCCTTCAGCTTCGTCCAACTCGTCATGCGCGCCCACAACTTCTCCCCCTCCTACGGCCTACCCCCGGATTCCCTCTCCCGCCGCTGGCGCCGCGACGACTGGTCCCACCACACCCGCTTCCACATCCACAAAGGCCACCTGCTGATGCGGGTCATCAGCACCCGCTTCGCAGACCCAGACCTCCCGCCCAGCTCGCAACGTCTCCTCCTCTACTCCCGCGAAGACTACTGGCCGTATTTCTCTGCCTGCGCACACTGGCGCGACGGCGAACTCATGAACGTCTGCAAATGCGCCCTCACTCACATCCCCAAACCCCGCGACACCTCCGCCCTACAGGGTCTCGAACACCGCGCGAAGGACCTCATGGCGCGGCGCATTCATAACCCTAATTCCATTGCCACTCTATGCGGGAAATGTCGCCCCATGCGCCGCTGTCCGGAGTGTCCGTCCGAATACCTCGTCGAGATCAAGTTGACCGAGGATCGCACGGACCCGCGCTCCTTGCACTTCCGACATGCAATTGTGGTCACCCGGTGGTGTGATCTAGGTGACGGGAAGTCACCGCGGCTGTCGAGGGAATGGGCAGCGTGTAATGGGTTACTGGAGGGGTATGATTCGTTTCAGATGCTGGGGAAGCGGTCTATCTCAGGGATTTTTGAAGCTTCGATTGCGGATGATACCTTACCTGGACAGAGGATTATATCGATGAATCCGAAGGGGAAGAAGAGGGGGGAGGATGGGACGGGGTGGTATTGATATTTCATCTCCCTCTTGAGAAAAGGTTCATGTTGGAGTTTTGGGTATGGGAGTTTTGTATAGGCTGGTTGCATTGGGTAATGGTATGGCGGACGGCATTATTTACATAATTTTATTATATAGATTGACAACACAAGCAGGCAAGGCAAGGCAAGGCTAAGATAAAATAGGGGAGAACAGGACAGGACAGGCGTGTATGGAGTACTTACTTACTTGCTACTTCTTATTATTATATTGCATCATCATCATCATCATAAAAGAGTGTCTTGTATACATACCATCAAAGTTACTTGCTAAATTCATCTGGGAAGGTTTAAACCCCCCATCTCAACATATACTATCTGCATATCCATAGCATTTTGTGGTATCTAACGCTAGATCTCTCGTCCACTGGAAAGAAACAATCAGATCAAAGAGGTTAGTTGGAAAGGGACCTTATAGGTCTCAGTAGACGGTCTTACTACTGAGTACTCTTGCGTTCCATCTACTGTGGATTCCTAATCTCTCAACCACGGTATAATAAGGTACAAACTACCGACTGAACGCATGGAAGGGTTATGAGGGTTGGGCTGTTTACGGTCTATATGGTGTTGGTGCCGGTTCGTAGTACTGTAAGTTACTGGATACTACCTCAAGGTTTGTTCTGGTTTTTCACTGGATTAATTGATGATCAAGGAAGGCTATCAAGAAGTCCTTTAAGACGGTATACTGGTAATTTCGCAAGACTGACTAGTTGGTAAGAACCACTGCTTGAAATCTCATTAAGAACGAACGATCACAACGTCAGGTATTGAAAAAAAAAATCACCAAAGCAAGAAGCACAAAATGATATCGTGTGCCAGCCAGATACCATGTGTATAGCAAGCAACAAAGAATTAGCAACCACCTCTAATGGCCCAAAAATAAAACGTCAGAAACGCGGTACTCTCTGCTGCGCATGCAATACTGGTACAAATCCGTGTCATCAGACATGTAACTCATGGGGTATCGTGATAGATCATAAACAGTCCCGGGAAAGATGCAAAAACAGAAAGGAAAGAAAGAAATTCGTAAGCGGGATAAGGCAACTGCCAATTTAGCCACGACGAGCCCGTCGGTCGATGTACCTTGGTCGTCGGCCTGTTTCTTCGTCGTGGTTTGAATGTTTGGACTTCGAGGCAATGTCATCAATGGCAACGTTCATCGCGCCCATCTCAATGGTTCTACCGGAGTCAGAAGCACTCTTTCCTGACTCTGGAGTCGCCCGAGGAGGTCTGCTCTTGACCAAGGCAGTACTGGGCGCGCTGCCCTTCACTGGAAGCTCTGGTTCCGCCTTCTTCCCAAGCCCGCTAGCTCCTTTCACCCAGCTGAAGATTCCAAGGGAACTGCGCCGCTTGTGGTCCTTGGGGTCGGGCGGCGGCGGTTTGGCCACTGCATTGTTCATGAAGCCGGATTCGGTAAAGGAGTGTGGCAATGTCCGATGAATATCTCCCCGTTTGGCGTCGGCAGGCATTGGCACAGACGAAGAGAAACTGGAACTATTGCTTTCGGCTTTGAAAGCCGTCTTAGTTGGTTTGGCTGGATTGTCATCGCGTGCTTTACGAATAATGGGAGGAGGAGCTCCATCGTCTGAATCCGAACCATCGAACATTAGGGAAGGCTGGAGACGACGAGGGGGCGCCGAACGTGCAAAGAAAGGAGGGCGGATGCTAATCTTGCGTCCGATCATCCGACGATCTAGTTCGGGCCCAGGCTGCAAGCCAGACTCTAGCGACTGTATATCCAGTGTGGGAATCATGGGAACATCCGAGTCCCTGATGGTGCTATCGATGCTGTGCCGACGACCAATAAAAGACGACTGACTAGTGATTCGCGTCTCCTGAGGTCGGGGGTTTTTCGATTTAGGTACAAGAGGCATCATAGCAGACTTGTCCCGTCGGCGTTTGGCATTCGGCTTAGAAGCCTCAACCCAATCTTGGGGCGTCAAAGGAGGCGATGAAGACAAGGAGCTGTCAGATTCATCCTGTGCCATGGACCCATAGTAGCTATTATCGAGCTTTGAAAAAACCCTGTCAAGGCCTTCACCATTGAGAAATGCATTCTGGCCAATATACCCAAGGCTCTTCTTGTCGAGGGTTTCTGGGCAATATAGCCTTTGATCCCGCGATGTGAGGCTGTTCAAGGGGAAGAAAGTAGGCGATTCTTCCTCATCGGTGTCAGGCCGATGTAAAGTGGCATCACTTACATTCATGTCCACGCTACCAACCGCTGCACTGTTAGTGGAGTTACGCCTCATTGTAAGTGCCCCTGCAGAACGCGGACGACCGTGTCCGGCCGTCATAGCTTGATCAACAAGGCTCTTTTCCGCAACAATGCTGCCGTTCGACCTGTTGGGGCCAGTGGCGTACGCCGTACTCATAGTGTCTGGAGTAGGGGGTAATCTCGAACCTCCAAACACGCTATCCACTCGTGTTTTCTGGCTCGAGCTATTGTATGAGTCACTCTCAAAGCTTGGTTTACCCGTTTGTCTGAGAAGATTCGAGGGCAATATATCCTGTTCCGGCACATCTTCCAGGAAGGCATCACGTTGTGGCTGGATCCAAGATTCAATCAGGCTTTTACTGGCGGAATCCTCAACCGTTCCTTTGGGAGCCTCCGAGACCCCTGATGAGTCTCGCTCTTTGATCGGGATATCCAACTGATCGCTTGCTTCTTCATGCGGGTACAATTCGCTGCATTCGCTCAGAGCACTAAGCCTTGGGGACTCGGGCTCGAGGAAATCACTCATAGATTGCAGACTTTCTGATTTCGTCATGTCACTCAATGCTGAACGAGACCGGTCGTCGGCAGTAGTTGAGGTGGTCTGCAGTGTTGTGGGGCTCTTGTGATCATCGGACAACAATGAGGGAGCTCGCTTGAGTTGATGCGAATCCGAAGATGACCGCCGATGCTTCGAACGGGCAGTACCCCGCCATGAGGATGTTCTCTCCGGGATGTCAATAGCGGCAAACGTGGTATTCTGCCTAGGAGTCGTAGCACCGGGGTCGTCGTCCTCGAACCCGCGAGTGGTAGAAGGTGTCGATGGATTTTCACCAGCTTCCAACTGGGCCACTTTATTCTCCAGAAGGCAGATCATATCAACAGCCTCGGTGATTGCTTGGTCCCGCTTGTCAACCTCATGTCGTAATTGTTCGTTGGATTCCCTTAGTCGCTGGTTGTCTGACTCGGCATCCCTCAGTTCCTGAACCTCGTCTTCCAGGCCTCGCAAGCGCTCAAGTTCCTCTTCCAGTTGCTCCATACGCTGTAGTTTCTTCTCCAAAGCGGCCATTTG